TTGCCGTAATTACATCAAAATGTTATTTTTGTGGAAGAAACAGACACTCTAGAGATAAATGTCCAGCAAGAGATGCAACCTGTCATTCCTGTGGAAAAATTGGTCATTTCACACAAGTATGTAGATCAAAATATCAAAAACAATCTCATTATTCAAATAAAACCTCAGCTGCTATGATTGGAATGATGTCAGCAGCCTCAACATCTTGTTTATCGAAAGCTATTATTAAAATTGAAGTCAATCATATTCCAACTGATGCATTAATTGATACTGGAAGTTCGGACAGTTATATCTCAAAAACTGTCACCACACAGAGACGTATCAAAGTGTTTCCTACGAATCTCAATGTCACAATGGCTGCTTCATCTTTAAATTCTCCTGTTTGTGGATACTGTATTGTGATTTTGAAAATATCAGATCATGTGTACAAAAATATCAAGTTTTACGTGATGGAAAATCTCTGTTCTGAAGTTATAATTGGACATGATATTCTTCAAAATCATTCTGGAGTAGAATTCAATTTTGGTGGAAATCAATCAAAACTTTCTATCTGTAATCTAGTAACAGCAAATATTCAACCTTATCCGCTGTTCGCGAATTTAACAGACAATTGCCAGCCTATTGCTATTAAATCTAGACGGTTTTCTAATGATGACTACAGATTTATACAAACAGAAATACAAAGATTATTGAAAGAAAACATCATTGAACCAAGTAATTCACCGTGGAGAGCACAAGTATTGGTTGCAAGTAACGTAAATCATAAGAAACGCATGGTTGTTGATTACTCGTTGACAATCAACAAGTTCACTTTATTAGATGCATATCCACTACCTAATATTGATAGAATTATTAGCCAAGTTTCGCAATATGAATATTTTAGTTCTATAGACTTACGTAGTGCGTACCATCAAATACCTATTTTGGAAAGTGAGCGAATTTACACTGGCTTTGAAGCATGTAACAACTTGTATCAATTCACAAGAATTCCATTTGGTGTCACAAATGGAGTAGCATGTTTTCAACGTATAATTAACAATATCATAGATAATGAAAGACTATCTGATACATATGCATTTTTGGATGACGTTACAATATGTGGAAAAACAAAAGAAGAACATGACAAAAACTTAGAGAAATTTATGAATATTACAAGAAAGTATAATCTAACATTAAACGATGAGAAATGCAAATTTTCAATGACAACTATCAATATTCTTGGATATACAATAGAAAAAAAAACCATAAAACCAGATGCGGATAGACTACAGCCATTAATCAATTTAGCAGCCCCTACAAATGTTGCTTCTCTCAGAAGAGTACAAGGTATGTTTGCACACTACTCAAAATTTATATACAAATTTTCTGAAAAGATACATCCCATTGTAAACGTGAAAACTTTTCCCATGAACAGAGAACAAATTCATGCATTTGAAAGGCTGAAACAAGATATTATTGATGCAGTTGTAATATTCATCGACGAAAAGGTTCCATTTACAGTAGAAACAGATGCTTCTGATTTTGCTATTGGTGCTCAACTGACACAAAATGGTAAACCTGTCGCATTTTTCTCAAGAACCTTAACAAAAATAGAACAAAATCATTCCAGTATAGAAAAAGAAGCATACGCAATAATCGAAGCTATAAGAAAATGGAGGCATTATTTAATGGGACGACATTTCAGTATAATAACTGATCAAAGATCCGTTGCATTTATGTTTGATAATAAGAGTTCATCAAAAATCAAAAATGAGAAAATATTGCGTTGGAAAATAGAATTATCATGTTACAAATTTGATATTATATACAGGCCAGGAAATCAAAACATTGTAGCTGACACACTTTCCAGGATATCTGCTGCTATTCAACCATCAACATCAGACAAAACTTTGTATAATTTACACAACGCGATGTGTCATCCTGGTGTCACAAGATTCTATCATTGGATTAGATGCAAAAATTTACCTTATTCACTAGAAGACATCAAAAGAGTTATATCCGCATGTCCGGTTTGTGCAGAGATAAAGCCGAGATTTCATAAAAACAAAGGAACTCTTATCAAAGCCATAGCACCATTCGAAAGATTAAACATTGATTTTAAAGGACCGTTACCTTCCAATAATAGAAACAAATACTTACTAGACATTGTAGATGAATATTCAAGATTTCCGTTTGCATTTCCATGTTCGGATATGTCATCTGCAACGGTAATAAACTGTTTGACTCAACTATTCTCAATGTTTGGCACACCAGGTTATATTCACAGCGATAGAGGAGCATCTTTTTTATCTGCTGATGTGAAATCATTTTTAACAAGTCATGGTGTTGCCACAAGTCGTACAACTGGGTACAATCCAGAGGGAAATGGACAATGTGAAAGAATTAATGGAACAATTTGGAAAACTATTCAACTTAAGGTTAAATCTAGAAACCTTGAAGTAAAACAATGGCAAGATGTTTTAATCGATTCTCTACATTCAATAAGATCCCTTTTGTGTACTGCGACTAATTCAACACCTCATGAACGCATGTTCAACCATCCTAGAAGATCGACTAATGGTACCTCAATGCCTACTTGGTTGAGCACCCCAGGCCCAGTTTTTCTAAAGAAACATGTTAGACATAGCAAATTTGATCCACTAGTAGAAGAAGTGGATCTTCTGGAAGCAAAGTCAGATTATGCTCATGTACGATTATCCAATGGTAGAGAAATGACTGTATCAACTCGTCATTTAGCACCAAGGGGAGATGTGACACTGTCAGAACAAGATCAAAATACCATAACACTACCAGAACAAGATAAGAATGAATTAACTATTCCTGAAGAAAACCTTACATCAGTCAGTTCAGAACGTTTGTCATCTTCGTTCCCTTTGAATGATTCAAATTGCTCTCTTCCCCAAAATTCTGAACAATCACACAATGAAAATCCTCCAGTGAAACCTACTGATGAATCCAGTTGTGTTTTGGTAAAGAGAAATCATAGGCCACCTTCATATCTTCAAGATTATGTCACAAAATGAGCGAGGAAGAATGTTATATATTTCATTACTTTACTATTTACTGTGTTCCCTATATTTATGTACCTGTATGTTGTATGTCATGTTGTCAGTTATTGTCAGAAAATACTGTATTGAATTTTAGCTTATTAAAGCCTTAATTCTAAAGGTTCTTTTTACTACAAAAAGTAAATCGTCTGAGATAAAGGTACATAGATATCTATGAATCGCCTTCTTTCTTCTTGCAGAACAACATGTAACATTATTTTGTATATGGGACCAATTGAAAGCCAAACAATTATATGATGGCAGTCACATATGTCATTGAGTAGAATGTTAAAAGAAATAGGCTTCAAATGGAAAAAAGATGACCCAAGACGAAGGCTCATGAAACTGACTAATATTGCTGTTAAACACATATCATTTTTGAGGTCTTATCTAAGATTTAAGCAGGAGGCTTTGTACCAGATTGTTTTCTTTCATGAATACAGAGAGCAGTTGTATTATATGTACAAATGAAATGCTTTTTTTAGATATATCATACTTCATACTGGCAATGAAAATTTGGATTCATTGAAGGTGCATCGCTGGTACTTTCATCAAAAACTCAACGACTATCATGGGAAAATCAGAATCAGAATAATTGAAAATATTCTTGATGGTCCAAATATTCATAATGTTTAATTATTTATAGTATTTAGAGTGGCTGTAAATAAAAAAGGTACTGAGCGTTACTATTATATTTTAAGTGATGATTGACAAATGAGTTGTTATTGAATATCTATCAAACCAAGCTTTGAAACAATGTTTATAATTTAGGTAATAAATAATGTTTGCATTATATTATAATATAATCCATTATTGTTTCTGAAAATATTTTGACCAAAGGAAAATATGCAAGAGACGGCAACGCTGTGCTGACCGAGCTTGACAACCCAACTATAAGTTTATTTGGTATGAACTATTAAAGTTTTTTCTGGGGGGGGGGGGCTAGCGACGTCTGGGGGGGGGGCCCGGCCCTCCCAGGCCCCCCCTGTCAGTGATGGTAACACGTAGGGAAAAATTGATGTTTTTTTTCTGGTGTAGGGAAAAGGGACAGAAATTCGTAAATTGTGAAAATGTAGGGAAATTCAGAGATTGGTCGAATATTGTGGAAAAAAAAATTAAAAACGAAGAATTCGAAGAAATGATATTTGTTAAATACGGCTTTCCGATTATCGATCGTACTCTTACTGCTCACGAGAGGAGACAACCGAGACATCCCTAGTACCTATATCTTTCCTATTTCCATTCAAGCCACATTACTGCAGAATACCTCTCTCTTTTTTCAATAGGTACCTACCTATATAAGTTGAAAAAGGAAAACGGATAACTTCTAAAAGATGAGCACTGGCAACGTAGCAACAAACTTTTGACTTTCTTGTTAATTAGGCTCTCTAAACCACGTGATTTTTCAATATGGCGACTAAGGAAAATTTGACTTTTGTACAGTAGTCAATAGATGGCGCCAGGTATTTTGTTTGTTCTGCAATTTCATGCAGCCAACTGAGTCAACCAACAGCGAATTCTATTGGTAAAACTAGTGCAGAAAAAATGTGTTTTAATCTCTTTCTTATATAGGCTGTTTAGAAAAATACTCGAATACACTCAGGGCGCACTAACCCTTCCAATAGAATTCGCTATTAATTGAATTAAAGCGTAGGGAAAATTGTAGGGATTTTTTTTTTGGTTGGTAGGGGAAAGTAGAGATTTTTTTTTGTCTGATAAGGGAAATCGTGAAAAAAATGTTACCATCACTGCCCCCTGTAGTTACGCCACTGATTCGTCCTGAGACAGAGGGCTCGATTTTCTTTTGACATTTTTTGATAGATTTCCCAGGAACAGGTGCCAGCAACCTGTTAAAGGTGAGCTCCCATAGTACCTACGCGATTTCAATATTTTTTTAAATAAAACACAATAAAAAGATTCTGAATTTTAATTAAATTAAAACATTCAAACAAATTAAAACAGCACAACGATAGGCCAATGAATAGTTATCATAATATGTATGGGTAAATAATAATAATATCCCATCGGCAAATTAACCAAGTTATCCCCAACTTGGTTTCTCTCACGTTGAATTGGTGGTAAAGGTTCCTGCTGAGCAACTCCTTGTTCTCTTGGTAATAAGGCATGGGAGAAATGACAATCCTCACCCAAATAACAAATCCCTTCTCCTCTTCTGAAGAATCTGCACTCAATCTCTTTCATTTGCACATTTTTGAAGCCAATAAAAGCTGCCTTTTTCTCCTCATTTTCGTACCAGTTTCGGCTCGAATATACAAAGTCGGAAATGGTTCGGCATTCGGGACAGCCTAAGGTAACTGGCAAAGGGAAATCGCTGGTACGCCTCCATTGTTGCAGACAATAAAAGCAATAACAATGTGAACAATTGGGCAAAATTCCAAATGTCCGATACTTGTAGGGCTTTTCCATTATCACCTCGTAACAAATGCCACACGTTTTCGAAAGCATTTCCCTGTTTTCTTCTTGAGACAGCCGAGTTAACAGGATGGATGGTGGATGCAGGTTGCGACAGTCGTTTCCGAATAAGCAGCAATCTTTGAGGAAATATTTGCAAATTGGCTTGCTGCAGCTCATCTTGGAATTGATTTTGCATTCGATTTGTATTGTTTGGACGAAGTTTACAAATGAAATGCAACAAAACGTGCTTGAAACTTTTCCTATTTTTTTTTTGACAGTTGTGACCAGTGTGACGTCAGTGTGCAGTCACTAGTAGAGAAGGGCTTATCGATGATGGAGCATATCGATACAAATTTGTTATATCGATAAGGACCGCAATGTCAATGTTTTAATAATTATTCAAAGATATTCATATTTTTTCTATTCCAGGCTTTTGAATTTTCTTCTCGAGTGTCTCAATCATTGGCTTGCAATAGGAGAGTGAGAAACTACATTGGAAACACAATGAGTAAGATAGAGACGATTATAAAATAGGATATATTAGAATTTTGATTTTTACCAGTTCCTGCCTGAGTGGGTTCGTCATTAGCGCAATGATGGGGTTTGATGGAAAGGAAATTAGACGCGTAAAAAAAAGTTAGTTTCACGAGGGTTTGTACTTACGTCATCGATGACGTCATAACTTAGAGAAAAAGTTAAGTCATAGATTAATTCATACAGCACCTTCAGAATTATTGTTTTATAATATATTTTTTAACTTAGAATAGAGTTTATTCAGTTATCCGAAAATATATAAATAAATTTCTCTTGGAGTGATTTTTCACTGAAAAATTTTGAAATTTCCCTATAATGAGCTCCTCACTTTTCTCTTTTTCCTGGAAAATGTTCAAAATTTTCCCTTTGCCAGGGTGAATTTTTCTTAATTTAGCTTAAATAAGTCAATTTTCCAGAATTTTTTCTGGAGTCATTTTTCACTAGAAAATCTTAAAATTTTCTATTATTGAATTCCTCACTTTCCTCTTTCTTTTAGAAAAATTCCACAATTTTTGCTTTGCCAGTTTTCCAGAAAAAAATTGAAATGTGAAAGGATGCTTAAAAAAGTTAATTTTCCAGAACTCTCCTCTCGACTTTCCTTGGAGTGATTTTCACTAGAAAATTTTAAAATTTTCCCATAATGAGCTTCTTATTTTCTTCTTTCTCCTGGAAAAATTTCACAAGTTTTGCTTTATTTGTTTTCCAGAAATAAATTGAAATGTGAGAGGAAGAATTTTCCTTAATTTTACTTGAAAAAATCAATTTTCCAGAACAATAATAATTGCGAACGTGCTCTATGAATTAATCAACGACAAATACTTTTTTCTAAATTATGACGTCATCGATGACGTAAGTAAGTACAAAAAGTGCAACAGAAATAAATAATTTGGTTGCACTCATTTTTTTTATTAGTGTTACGTAGTGCCACTGTAGGTAGTGCTAGGGTGGAATGCCGAATGGGAGTGCTAATTTTGATGTTCTTTTTTCCAAGATTTTCAATTTCCATCTTTCCAACATTCCAACGTTTCAAGATTTAAGATTTTTCTTCAATAGAAAAGGATAATTAAAACTTTGACATATTATGACTCAGGTTCTTATTTGACAGAAATGACAGTTAACATTGAATTGGAAAATTTAGAAAAGAAAAACTCCAAGTGAATGCTTGAAATAAGAAAGAGATAAGAATCTGAAAAATCGAATGAGTAGAAAAGAATTAGAGATAAAGTGGGATGAAAGAAATTGTGGCACAAGTTGTGATTATTCCTGACACTTGAGTAACGTTGTAGCCAAAGGCAAGGCCTAAAATGAGAGGGAGATAAGAATATAAAAAATTGAACGTGTAAGAAAGAAATGATGAAGATAGAGTAAAATAGAAAAATTGTAGCACGAATTTGCCTAAGTAGGCTTATACCTAAATTTTGTGGTTAAACAATCAAAAACCTGGAATAATAGGAGAAAGACAATGATAAGTATCACAAATTCAATTAGTAAAAGAGAGATAGCGGTGAAATAGAATGAATACAAAGTCCTGGAATGATACACATTCATGTATTTTCTATCCCTGGCTCTTGGTCTTGAATTTTCTTTTCCGACAATTTCAAGAGCCAAAAATTGAGAAATAAAGCAAAGAAATTTAAGAGAAATTGAGAAAAAATTGGTACACAAACCGTGCGTTCGTTATTTTGGTCTGAGTTCTCCGAGCTTGACTTTACCGTTCGTTTATTTAAAAAGTGTACTCGGTGCAGCCTCATTCGCGTTCGTTTATTAAAATTTCCGGTACTCTTATACAGCGTTCAACTGCTCCGTTCGCTCGCTGGTCACGTGATTACGGCTCCGCTCAGCTCGCTCTACACTTTGAGCAAAATACCGAACGCAAGGTAAGTATTTCGTTCCTTATTCCAAGCTCCTGAATATTCTCTACTTGGAAAAATTTAGAAGAAAATGAAAATTCAAAAGCCGGGAATAAATAGGTAAAAATTGATTTATAATTGAGACGAAAATATTGATAAATACCAAAATACCAAAGAAAAGTTTAAAAAATTAAAGAAAAAACAAAAATATCGTATCGAAACTATTGATATTTTCTCATATTAATACCGATCAGAAAAAAAAGTAGAGACTTAGAAAGAATATCGTATCGATACCTATATGAGTATCGATAAACCCTTCTCTAGCGGTCACTACTGTTAAGGTGCGTTCCTATTTTATTTAGCTATCTCTGTCTCTTTTCAACTACTAACAACAAAAAATGAAAATAGATGGCGAGGGCGATGTCTTTGTCAGATTGTTAATAAAAGACGAAGATACAACATTATAGCTCGACGTAATCTGAACGTTTTCTCGTAAGGGCCGGTTCGACAATTCAAGTATATCTTCAGTATAGGCTATATATAATCATTTTTGAAATGATCTTTTATGCTAGGTATACAAGGATATACTTGAATTGTGGAACCGGCCCTTAATGGAATACAAGGCGAGCTTGGTTAATCCTCCGCGAGCTAAAAAATGACACTGTTGGCAAAAGCCCACGTGATCTTTGATTTGAAGTTTCAAAATTGATCACGTGGACCTGTCATCTTTTTGCTCGACAAAAATGAAAACTTAAAAAATCAAAAGGATTAAAAACGTAGGTTAAATAAATTAAAACATCAGAAATGCCTGACCATTGCCGCCATATTGAATCCTGGCATTTGTGATTTGGATCCAAGGTACAAAGTTCCTAAAGTTCATAGGCTATCTCGTAATGGGTAACTTGATGACGCATCTGGGATGCCTTATGGAGAATTGCATTATGTTGAGGCACCCCGAATGACGTCATAAAGCTATTAGGCAATCTACCTCTTTTAAACAACCTTGTCCAAGGTAGTTTGAGAACCGTTTTTTTGAGGGAGGTAGGTTGCCTGCAAGGAGAATACATACTCTAAAGCAGAGAGCTTATCGGCCTCGTTTTTGGTAATCGCCGTCATATTGGTTTTCAACCATTGCCGACGTCATAACTAAGTCGTCAGCTGTTTAAACAGCCAACGTCAAAGCGAGACACGCCATGCTGCTTACGTCGCAACTGGTTGTTTGGCGCGGGGGGGTGGGGGGGGGGATTTGTTACACACAGGCCTTATGAGGATAAGCCATCCTGTAGTAGTAGTGTGCAGTGATGTGCCTGTAGACAATGTCAACGTAAACGATTGTCTACGCGTAGACAATTCGAATTGTTTACGTGAGCATTTGTCTACACATTGTCTACATGCTGCGTAAACAATAACTTTATTTTAAAAAATTCGAAAAAAAATATCAAAAGTTACTATACTATCACTATCACTTCGACATCAGCATTCACTGATTATAAAATATCAGGAAAACCAATAATAAAATAAAAAAAAATTAAAAAAAGGAAAGTGTGAGGTTAGAATTAAACGTCATTTATATTATTTTACATTGTTGACACGTTGTCTACATTGTCTACATTGTCTACACGTAAAGTAGACAATGAAAGTCTACGTGTCGACGCACATCCCTGGTACTGTGTATCATCCTTGGGTTGCCTGATAACTTTATGACGTCATGAGAGGTGCCTCAACATAATGCAAATCTCCATAAGGCACCCCACCCCAAATCAAGCTACTTATTAAGGAGCGCCGACTATAAAATTCGTATGCCTTTCTAGTTTCAATGTCATCTCTAGTTAAGTTAAGACATTTGACATGAATAGGGAAATTAACATTTATTATGTTGAATATGATAAAGAATAAAATAGTAAATGAACATCAAATAGCAGTAAATAAAAAGTGAAGATGGATAATATATGCTTTGATACGAAGATTTAATTTACGTGATTGCACAAAATTGTACTATACGAACATTTGACAATACCACAGGACAATACCGCCATTTACTTTGTAATGACGTCACGGCCAATAAATAGTCGTTTTCGTCGTACGAGTTTTAAAGTTTCAGATCCAATTTTCAAATGTAAATCGTTTTGGGAAAAAAAAATCTATAATTTTGTTATGCAGAATATTCGAAAATAAATATAATTTAAAAATGTGCAAGTAGTTTATTCCCGGAGAATCAAAACAAAACGTGGCAACCCTGTTTAGAGTTGCGTTGTTATTATTACATCAAGCAGCGTTGCCATCAGTAGTAGCAGTATGTTACTAAATAATCCTATTGTTTTTGAAGAGAAAACTTCTTTAGGCATGTTCAGCACAAAAAAAATTCTGGGTGAAATTCAGCCGTCACGCCCGAATTGTTAACGCTCATTCGGTCAAATAGGGCGCTTTCTACCCCGAGACTACCCCTATAGAACAAACTTCGGCGACGTTGCCAATATCATTGGCAAAATGTTAATTGTTTGTATCTAATAGGTTTACTGGTTATCAGACAAGCTCCCCTCTTTTAAACAACCTTGATCCAAACTAAGAATCCTAAACTAACAAGATTGCCACTGAAAATTAAATCCTCATAAGCCGTACGTTTGCCAATGGGCCACTTTCACGTGCCGGGAATATGGCAAATTATTATATTTTTTGACGCAGATAAATCAATGCAACCGAGAATGAACAATATTTTGCAAGATTTTAGTCAGATTATTTATTATTTAAATAAATTAATAAATAAAAATTAAAAATGTAAACAAAAAATCACCTGATTGGCTAAAGCCAATTTTGACGTTTTTGTTGTCACACATGTTGAAATGCGACATTTAAATGAGTTAATAAGGATTATATCTATCCCTTATT